ATGCATTGACTGCAACCTACCTCTGAACATACCATCAGTTATACTATACTCTGCCTCATCCAACACTAGGCTAACACTTATACAGTAATCACAAGATTTTTTCGATTCCTTCAAAATATTAAGTAGGAAGACCAATTGGCTGAATTAAATCTCAAGACGACAACCTCAACATCACTTATGTACACGCAGCTTATCCGCGCTTTACCTTTAGGTTACCTCTACAGACTATAACAGCAGTTCCTCGCCTTAACCAATGAACTATGTCTCAGCTTCGTACCCCGACTAAGGTAACTCCTCTCTCAAAATCCTTAGGATGACTAAAACCCATCTCCACACCCCACCCAATTAGTCACCTATGGATAGCTACGACTCTTGGCTCCTCGAGTAAAAGAGCCCGTTTCGTTATCCTTCCAAACCAGCCATTTCTATCAAATTTTCAACGGAAGATGGAAATTAAGCCGGTCTGTTCCCTTCTCTTCTTCAATTACAAGTTCCTAGCAAATACGACAAGCCTTAATTGTCTGCCCCACCCACACAACCGTGAACTCCTGGGATGCTTTCTTAATATCTCGTCATTCTAATCAATATTACATATAAGATGTGATAATTCAGACAGCTAAAACATTTTGTGTATGTGCGTTTGCATACTTTTATTCACGTTGAGGATACTAGTTTTCTTTATCTATTTGTTTGTCCATATGTCTGTTATCTTACTTCAGAGTCAGTTACTACGAGATCTCTATTGATGATTCTCCGCTGCAGAAGCAGAAGTCTAGTGGCGTCACAATAGCCACTGGGACCGGGTCTACCTCATGGTCACTACACATCAGCGGTCTTTGTCAGGCAACGGTTGCTCAGCTCCTTCGTGTTATTCAGACTCTGTGTCCTACTGTCCTGGACCCTGCAATTCGATCTCCAGACTCTGGGCCTGTAACTGCTGCGAGTCAAGCCCCACCTTGTCTCCTCTCCAATTTAGAAGCCCCAGGAGCTGAAAAGCTTGATCAGCTAGCCCAGCAAGCCACAAAGCAATATAACTCTACATTGTTGTTTGGTGCCGAAGAACGTAGAATGGGCTACACAATCCGCGACCCTGTACAAAATGGTGAGTCATTTGCATGGCAGTACAACCTCATTCAGTGAAACGATTTTTCTCTAAATTTTCGCGAACTTCATTTAAACTGTGGTCTTGTTTTTATACAGTCCATTTCTGAAAATTTAGCTACTCTATGCTTTATCTTAATGTCTTTATTCTCATGCTGAACGATGGAGCACTTTTTGGCAAGTACTATAGGAATAGAAGTGGGTTGACCTCGTCGTCGCAACTTGGTCTTGT